CTAACTCGGCTACGTAGACCGCGCCGACATGCGTTAACTCGATTATAAGCATTACTTTGTAGATTTTGAAATACATATTAGACATTTCGAAGACAGTAGCATATTCTATAAAGTAGCTGTTCCCGTGCGGCTTCATCCTCATGAAATTGTGAAAATTTTATTTTATTGTTCACATTTGTCAAATTATCAATAGCAAATGTCAAAATGACATGACATGACACACCTTGGCAATCTTGCTATCTTGATGTTATGGTCGAACTTATGGTCTCTTTCACACATTAGAGTTTTTATGCAAAATGTTTATCCCCTAAGTTTAATGGCGTGAAAATATATAGGCCAAAGCGTGAGGTAAGTGTAGGGCTTTTTATTTAAAAAATAATCATCCAAAAATGTAATTGCTAACATCTTAGACAACAAAGAAGTGTGTGCTTACGCTTTATTATAATAGTATAGATAGCAAAATAGATAGTATTGTTCATTGCGAAGAGAAAATCATGGCACAACGAGGTTTAAGGTTTTGCTGGATTGTGTGAAAATGCTTTGAGGAATACAGGAAAACATGATACAGGAGAAAAGTCTATTGCCAAACTAATTGGTTATTATTACACAATAGAGGACGAAGAAAATAAATACTTACCTTCTTGTGAAATTAAGGATATCAAAGATTTATTTATATCGGGACGTAATAAAATTACATAGATCGTTAAAAAGCCAACATTGTGTACAAATTTCATGCTCGATATTTACTGGTCGTTGTTAAATAGGAAATTTAGGGTCGTTGTAAATGTTTATGTAACGGCGATAAAGAAATAGAAATAAATTTTAATAACTTCCTTGTTAAATATATTTTAACACTTTGTTATTAAGGTATTAACGGAACTATATTTATGCCGTACTAGGATTAGATTTTTTAATGTTACAACCATGACTAATATGTATATATGTAATTCTTAATTCTAGTGTGATACATACAGTCTTTTCAATGTAGTTTATGATATATAATTTACAGGGTTAAGGGTAGTATATATTGTAACGTATCGATGAAACAGGTAAAGCATGTCTTTAAAAATATTCAAAGCAAGTTTGCGAACATGCACTTAAAAAAAATCCGATTGCATCATAATTTGTACAGTCCCCGCCTCACAGATGAAGTCATCTGTTTACCGCTTTTGTCTATAAATTGTATTTTAATTGTCATATTATCTACCGTGTTTACACGATTACTCGTCTTAATGTTTCCTAGCAATTTGATACCTTTTTTGGTTTTGATGATTCAAGTTACGTGGCAAAAAACGGCAGTGAAGACGGAATATAATTTTTGTTATCAAATTAAAATATATAAAAGCCATTAAATTTGTTTGTCTTGTAATTATTTACTGACATTAGATAGAGATTTTATAAATTGTTATGCTACTTGAAACCAATTAATTATACGACGAAAATAAATGAAGGCTGGCAAAGAGCTTTTCTCTCTACAGATTTATTTCGTTCGAAATCAGGGCAAGTAGAAAAATTCTCATTTCAACGTTTACCTTAAGCATTTCCACGTGAAATCTTTGATTCCGTCGAAATTAGTTTCAAGAATTCGAGTCGGCTACTTCAGTTTTCTCTGAGAGGCGTACATAATGTAGGTAAGAAATTTATTTAAAATATTCTTAGAATATACGTCTAACGAATCTATATAATAAAAGTGTTATAACAATAAAAATCACAACGTCATATTAAATCTTACTAATGTTATAAATGCGAATGTTTGGATGGATGTATGTTCGTTGCTACGTATCTCCAAAACGTCTAAAAGGATCATACTAGAATTAAATGCAGATATAGAATATAGGTGTTTTTTGAAACCGCGAGGACAGAATCGAGGGCGATATAAAATTACATAAAATAAAAAGGTGATTAAATGAAATATAAAAAGATATATATAATAGAAGTAATCTTTCACGAATATACCAAGAACTGCTTGTACATAAGCGTGGATGAATAATCTAACTAATGTACATTATCTTGGATGAATTAAACATTGCATCACGTTGCGGAGTGTCAGTGCATGGATTCTATAATCGCAATCGTTTTACATTTATTACATTACTATTCTAGATATTCCTCCCACGGATGAAGCTGCTGTTTGCTTACTAATTAAAGAATAATTAACGTATGAGAGGTACCATAGATTATATACTAAGAAGCATTTATAATGTTTTAACTCCCGATATTTCGCCACAGTTGCATGCGCCATGTTCACGGGCTGACTGAAGTGATGCGATAGTGTGAAAAAAAAACTTTAGTGTTAGTGTGGACTTTAGTGAAAACGAGGACAATAATAGTAGTACCGCATCACTTCATTCAGTCCGTGAACATGGCGCATGCAACTGTGCCGAAATATCGGGAGCTAAAACAATTCAATCGTGGTAAGAAACCCGTATCTTACGAACATTACATTTGTAAAAACCACGACAGTTTAAAGTTATATATCTAAGAAGCATTAATCGTCTAGGCTTAGGAAAAAAAATTGTGAATCCAGATGACTTTTTCATTATTTACTTACTACATAGGAATAAAAAAAGGAAATCTCTGATATTAATCATTGAATTCGAATTCAGCTTTTCGTTAATGTAAGCATCAAGGTGGGTCCGAGCAATTGTATCGGATAATGTCAGTTGCACTGGTCGCGTCGGTTTACCCCGCCTTTCCATAAAACTGGTCGTAGTTAATGAGGAAATCCTCAGACCTCTTTAAATACATACATGGTTAAATTCATAATAAATTGTAATGTAATTTAATATAAGGATATGAAAGGAATTCTTACCGAGAATTGTAGTTTCTCGTACATAAAGTAACTGTGTTCAGAACTTTGAACTGGGGACAGTTATGCATCATAGCGCTATTAGACCAACGGGGCTGGTAATAAAAGCAAGGTCAGCTATAGCGCCAATTACTCAAGCAAACCCTCATTACGTGCGAATTGTTGGCAAGTTATAGCTCACAAATTACGTCTAAAATATCTATTTTATTAATCTTTACACCTTCTAATAATAGTCGGAATTTAATTTATATTTTTTTTACAACGGCGATTATCTTTACAACGGTGTTTGAAAAACAAAATGAGATAACTCCATTTTCTAGTATGTTTATGGCTTAATAAAAAAAATTTGGTCGATTGTTAAGTTGGATAAATCATTTTTTTTTAACAAATAGAGTATGTAGCGCCAGAATAAAGTCCAAATATTTAATATTCTGATCAAATTTCGTGTAACGTTCGTTAAGGCAATCGGCCTTCGATTTAAATAAATCGGCCGTGAAAAGAAATTTTGATTCCGAGAATCAATCAGTAGCAATAAAGAGAAAGGTTGACGCATTGGTGTTATAAATTTTGCAATGTATTTTTTTTTAATAAAAACGTGAATGTTTAAATTAAAACTCGTAGTTTAATAAACAAATCGAAGTTATCTAAGAATCTGCAGTAACTAGTTCTGAAATTTAACTTCCCTTGATTGCGACAAAATTAAATTATACCAACAAACCATAGAGTACACAAACCAGAATTAGTCTGTGTTTGAAACAAGAATTCATAATTAGTCTGTGCTTTCTTGCGAAATAGTTGAGATCCCTTGATAGCTGCATACAATCAGTCTCAAAAGGACTACGTATAGATGTAAATCACAAAACAGTTTCCATTCTACGTTTTGTAGTCTGTGCATGCAACTTGTCTATCGTGAAAAATAATATTTAATCTGTGCTCTCGCTTGACATTTCGATTCACGGCGCATCGGCAATAAGACGCGGAAAAATGGCGCGCAGCTTTCGTATGCAAATAAATAGAATTATTTATCTTACTGATTTTGATTTTTACTTTGGTATTCTGAATTTGTAGCTATTAAGATATATACAGGAATTTACATGTAACGGTATAATTTCAATTTCAAAGTTTGTTTTGTTTGAAAACCGCCTTATATTGCAAATTATCCTAGAAAAAATCCCAAGCGTTGTTTCTTTGGAGTAATAAAGTTGTCACAGGAAATCTCACAAGAAAGTTAAAGATTTTTTGTTAATGTTGTTAATTTCCTTCATCCAAGACGTATCTTTGTATGGAGATGAAGGAAAATGTGAATAAAAAGGTATGAACATTGAAAGATCAGAATGGTTTTAGTATGCAATAGACAGTTCCATTTTCAATTCCATTTGCACAGCTCAGGGAAGCATTCGCTTTGAAAATATGAAAACTGGGGAAATAGTAAAGAGCACAAAAGAATAGTTCCATGTTAGGAAAGTGGGAGAATATGGAAGGCTTCCTATATCTAGGCCATCACTGCGCGACGGCAGAATGTTTTGTCACTTCCAACTAGTATAGGATGAGTAATTTGTACATCATAATACCGGATTATCCACTTTATTATTATATCATCGATAAGAACAGTCATATAATTATATTGTAGTCTGTGTGTTAGCTTGTTCTCGATAAATTTGATCAACTTCCTAATAAAAAAATACTTACTGATTAAAATAATATCCATAATTTCTGTGATTTCTGAAGCCACAGTAACGTGTATTTTAATGACTAAAGGTTTTACATAAATTAAAAAATATAACATACGGGGACACGGAGTACAATTGGAAACAACGAACATATAAAACCGTGCGTTTTCACTGCCAAAACACAAATATAAAATATTGTCGTCTTACTCTATTATTTTGGAGAAATAGAGATGACAATACGTGTCGACAGTGGTAACCCACGGCAAAGCTACACTGCATTTGCGAACATCTTTAAAATGTTCTATGAATCGTCAACGCCACATTCATGCCATGGCCCTTTATGTTTGCCAATGAGGTGATTACATCCAACCGGTCGTATAAAGTTGGTTCCACATAGACTAACCATGCAGTGATTAACATAATCATGCTTTACACATGAGTGTCTCAGTTTATATTGAATCATGGCTGATTCATGCAGGTTTTAGGCAAGCGTATACACAATATTGCAGTAAAACACGTACCCTGTACCAGGTGGCCACCTGAGGTTGGCGCCGCACCACCGAAAACAATATACATACATATATTAGGTACTATATGATACAACTTATACTACTAAATACATTTATAATAAAAATATATTTAAAAAGTTGATATTGTACAAAGGTCGTTCCATATAATTATTCCAATCTGTCTTCATTTAAACACCTGTTTTAATTTCGTTATCAATAAATCAAAGTACAATGGATAATGGAATATGTGTAATACGTTACTAGGAAGTATTACTGATAGTGTTTGTTAGTCATCAATGCGCTTCTGCCACTTTTCAAACACAGAAAACTCAATAGTGGTCGTTGGGTTGGAAAATTAGTGAACCATCTACCTAACGATATATGGCGTAATAAAGTTATACTATGATCTGATTATAAGATAATTAACGTCAAATAATAAAGATAGTTTAATGAAAAGCAGAATTATTTGTTGACGAATAACTCCATAACCTCGAGAACTTTTTCATTTACTTTTTAATTTCACTAATTGCTTGAAGTAGCAGCCAATACCTTTATTTACCTACTTACCTTGGGCATCTAGCAGTTACACTACGGCTAATTTATATTTATTTTAAAGAATGGAATCAAAATATTTTTTACAATTCTCAACTACGGTATAAACCTCTTTGACAGATTTACGCACAGATTTCACCATTTATTCTAGTTCCTCTCAACATTAGTAATGGTATATTAACTGAATGCAGTAACGTATGTTCTGTAAGACTAGTTAGTGTTACGTCGTACGATGCATTTAAGAAACCTCCAGTTAACGGTATGTCAGAACTGGTTTTTATTTGTGCTGTCCGTCGGACGATTTTTCCAAGATCTACGGCGATAGATCGACGCCGACGCGACGTGAACACTTTTGACATTTATATACAAAACCTTGACAGATTTTATTCAACTTGATAAAAATATAGTAGAGTCTGATATTTAATATGTAGTCAGAAACGTAATTAAAGATATCCAGATGCTGTACTAATTATTTTGGATATGTGAGCGTTTTTTAGTCTTGGATTAAATAGGAATGATGAATTAAATATACCATTCAGCATAAGCGTAAAATTGTTGTAATTGTCAGTTTTAATAAATTGTTACCATAAACTTTAATAGCACGCATCACGATTGAAAAATATATTTTTATTATCTTGCAATAAACATGTATAGTGGGTTATTATTTTTTTACGAAGCTTCATTAAAACTAAAAAAACTCACGCCTGTCGTTAAGTAGTGATTTTACTGTTTAACATGTACAATTTTATAAAGTTACAAGACTCGCTGTTGCTCACGACTTCGTCCGCGTGAAAATAGAATATATAACCTATGTTACTCACAGATAAATTGCTTTTCTAACGGTAAAATGTTCTTTAAAATCAGCCCAGTAGTTTTTGAGTTATTTTAATAAATACAAAAAACAAATCTTTCCTCTTTATAATATTATTTTATAAAGTTATGTAATATTTTTTGTATTTCTATTGTTCCACGATTATGTCATCAACCAAAATATCAACCTGACATTAAAAACCCACACAGATGTTAATCGTATTCCTAAATAAGGTAGCAAGTACCTTCATTACCTTACTACGTAAGTTCTAACATCTTTACAACTACGAATGTTACAGACTTCAAACTAAAATAAAGATACAAACTTTGGAAGGCAATCGTTTTAAAATTATATATTTTATTATTATTAAAGGTTAGCGTGGTATGGACATGTTATGCGACGAGACGATGGGGACATAAACCTGAAAGTGTTAAAAACGAATGTGGATGGCTACAAAGGAAGAGGAAGACCGAAGAAAGTATGGATGGATTGTGAAAGAGGATATGCTTAAGAAAGGAGTGGATTCAGATATGAGATGTATGGAAGAGCAGCACATACTGTGCCGACCCTCCATAAGGGATAAGGGCAAGTTGATGATGATGATATTGCAACCACAACAAAACCTACAGACAAAAAAAAACTACTAGAATTTAATTAAAACACTTAGGTTATTTACCATTATTTGCACACATAAATGAAATACCAACATAACAATATTCGTTTAATTTTAATATCTCAAGTAACTATTCAATTTCCAAGGTCGGTTACAAAGCACAGAAGTCATAATATCCAAGACAGCTACGAATGCTTTATCACCTACTGTTGTTGTGCGGACAGGTGATGGTTTAATGCAGCCTTTATTGCGATTTACGTGTCCCAGCGTGTCGCCCACGCCCACACTGCGTGGGTGAGCTCTAACAACGGAAGCACGTCATAATGAAATGCTAGTTCTGTTACGAAAGCACAGCTATATTTTGGTTTATTACAAACGTAGACGATACATTCAAAATCAAAACAATATAGGAAAAATAAAAAGGATAAAGAGACAAATTGGCAATAGATATTATTTATATTAATCCAAACATGTATTAACATTTCCTTATGTATTTAAAAGTTTTAATTAAAAATTTTGAACTTAAATTATTTGCAAGCATCATTTCCATGTGGAATTAAGCTATCGACAAATATTGTAGAGCCGCGCTATCGGTTACGTTTCCGATATTTACATTTCGATGTCGAGATCCATCGGGATTGGAAATCAACTCGCTTTATAATGGTTCGAGTTATTTCAATGGAATCGATTTTGAAGTAGGTTTAGCTGCGAACAATATATATTTAAGCAATTCTTTGACGTTTTAATTTGCAAAGCAAATGGAAATTTGATTAAGTGAACACAAATGTTATTGTAATAATTTATCGTAGAGATTTATATTCACTTGGAAGATACTATATTAAACTACTTTAGCAAACTAACACTAAAATAAAAATAAAACTAAACTAAATACATTTTTCTGAGATGAATTTTGTTTGTGATTGTTACTTCGCAAGCGTCATTTAGTAGCTATAATAAGAAAAGTTGTCAAGGAAGCGAAAACAGATTAATAATTCTTAAATTCTTTCAAGTTTACGAAACAACTGCCCTTAAAGTACTCGGTTATAAATCGAAAGTAAACTTACGAGTGCAAGTTTCACCACGCATCATATACTTATTTTAATACAGCGTCAAGGTTGATTATTAACATGAGGTTTTTATTTCCAATATGCATTTCAATACATCATACATTTCAAATCATATTAATCTTTATCATCTTTCTCCTTATCCTACTTCCAGAGGGTCAGCGCAATTCATTTTTTAATCATGTCACCTTTCAAGCAATACATCCATCTCTTTCTAGATCTACCTCTACCGATGTACCCTCATAACTAACGTTCTCCTTGTAACATGCGATTCATCCCTCCTCATACCATGCCCATACTATACTAACATTGTACTCCTTACCTTCTCTACCACTGAGGCTACTCTTAAACTTCTTCTAATATACTCAATTCGTATTTTATCCAAATCATATTAATCTTGTTAATTACAAATTCAATCAACATGAACTAGTTATTAATAGTAACTAGTTAGTTAGTTAGTAATAAGTAGTAAATGAATCCAGGCATAATTTTACTGTACAATAATCTAAAGATATTGAAAACAGCGACGGATACGACACTGACATTTCTTCCTACCAAACTTACCTTTTACCATAAGTAGCAAATAATTTCCCTCGTAAACTTACTCTCTCGATTTCCATAATGTATTTTTTACAAGACAATGAAGATAATAAATATGTAACTTTTATGGTGAGTTTATTTTCAACTTTACGGAAACGCTGCAAATTTACGGGTTTTAAAGTCTGTGGTTATCCGCATAAACCGTCTTTTATACGGCCGTGAATCGCCGTAAAAGGTAAAGTCGGACGTTTGCAACTCATGAATCTGGTCGATCTCCAATTGCATATTACGAACATTTGATTATCTGACTCATATCAATTGTTTTTATTACTCGAATGATTTATTAATCCTGTTCTTGTCCAATCTATGACAGAAAGTTTGCGGTTGATATCGCGATATTTAAACCTTGGCGACGGATTTACCGAGAATTACAAATATTTTACGAAACTATAGTGAGTTTCTTCCACGAATTCCTATTCGTCGCTTATTTATCTTGAAATTTAATTAAAAATTAATTAAGTTTAGAAACTAATTAATAACACTTTATCATATTATTATACGTCGATCAGATAACAGATTTGAAAGGGCTACTTGTCACGTGTCTTCCTAGGGTCATTATTAAATTAAAATTATTTATTTATAAATAGCTTTTATTAATAATAATTTACAAGTAACCGCTTCTTGCTGTTAAGCAGTGCGTAGGCTTTGTTAGTCTTCGTCTATAAATAGACTAAGCGCCTGCGCCTTTGCTGTTGCCTAGATTATGTCTAGAAATAGTTCTCGGCTGCCGGTCGCCCGCGGGAACTCGCTATTAGAGATTTATTGCTTACCAGCGCCAGGACTATAATATATGACGGAAGTGTTATGACGTACGTCTGTTGTTCGATATCAAGATAAATATTTGTAAAAACTCTTACATATTAATGTAATCTTGATGTTAGTAAAATTTTATTCACAAATTTTGGGAAGAAATAATGCATACTGCACTCAGACAATTTATGGTTACTTACGCAGTCCTTACCTGAAGACTTTCGATTAGAAAACCCCTTTAGTAACCATTAATAAACTCTGAATGTTGCCTTACACTTATTGAAAAACGTATCGCTTACAACATAAAACTATGATTTTAAGTAAGACTGACTACTCATTTGATCACCAGCATGCTTTAACAACATAAAGGTAAGTACAGACTAGTTGGATAATCCAGGTTGTGAGTACAGACCTTGGGCAAAGCGGCGAGGCACTGCTGCTTGACGTCCCAGACGAGCTGGTCCCGCGGGAACTGCAGGCTCTTCTGAACGTTGAGCTCGGGCACGTGCACACGCACCAGCAGCCACCCCTCCCCGCCCTCCGAGCACTCCCCCTCCATTACGCTACGCCATCTATTAACAAAAAGGTAAAACAAATCAGCACATTTGTTTTTTACAGCAAAAAATGACGTTGAATATAAATGGTAAAGACTCGAAGACAAACTGACTGGAATAATTTTAAAGTGAGATCGATTGTCAGAATAGCCATATCGAATTTAATTACCATCAGCCAATGCCCATTAAATAAAATGTAAAAAACGAGTAAAAGATGAACGGTCAAGACGAATATCCTTCACAAATTCAGTCATTTATTTATAGCGTTGACAGTTGTCTATGGACAAAAAAGTTATATATTCTGTTGATACAGCTCAGAGTCATGTCGCCATCCGGTTACATTTCTCTGAAGTTTGAATTACGAATTCAACAGCGAATGGCGCCAAACGTTTATCACATCGCGCCTTCGGGAAACAGACTCGAGTTCGCAAATTAAAGATGGCCGCCACACCATATTAGGAAAGGAATAGAAAATATTTTGAACGAAAAACCTTAAAGGCATTGTTAGTGTGTGGCGCTAATCAACTCTAATTCGACGTAAGAGGTGATTGACTTAACACAATGGAACTGTAGATTTACATAAGTATCTTTGGAATTTAAATGATGTGAAAATACAAATTTATCTTGGAAACAAAACGAAATTCTCACGTGCGTTTTAACCCAGAGTTAGTGAAAACACGTTAGTAAGCTCGATACCAAATTCAAAATATGAAAAGGGTCAATGTATTGACATAATAAAAATGATCTTCAAAGTTTCTTATCATTTGAACGCCAGCATTCCAAGCTGTTATCTGCTAGGTAACGTTATCTTCAAGAGATAACGTATCATTATAACACGTCGTACACCTGAGCTTACTCTCGTCATAAAGCTGTGAGTGTGTAAAGCTTTTTAAGTACATTAATAATTTGTGTAAAATATAAACGTATGCTTATATTTCCGCGTCGTTTGTTTAAAAATGTAGACGACAGATGGCGTTATTCAAAGAGAATATAGTAATCAAAATATCCATTTAAACATAGATTGAACAAAAGTATTTAATGTACTTAGTTTAATAAAGTGACCTTTGACTTTTTGTCCTTTTGGTAGTAAAAATAAAATAATTGAAATTAAAAATTAAGTAGCTTATCAATTAAATTGATTAAATTTTATGAGGCATTGAGTGTTTGGCACCGCCATCACTGGAAAAATAAACATGAGTCCTTGCTGTTTAATAATTACTTATATGTAGGTTATCGTTAAGATAGTGATGCAAATTGACAAACAGCAATAAATGTGTATGCAAAACAATTAGGGTCAAATAATGTTTGCGCTAAATTACAACTGTCATAAAGATGTACGCATTGATGTCTTGCTTTGTTGCGATTGCAACTTGTTTACTGTAAATCATTTATACCGAGATATATATATTTCAACATCAATCAAAACTTATGAGATAGAGAAAATTCCTATGCAGTATAGATATACTACGTAGATACGTGAAGACATGATTAACTGAAATGATTAACCACGTAACTATTACCTGAAAAGTCTAGTAAATTTTATTAATAGACAATTAGATTTTCAATAATGATAACCTCAAAAGAACCCATATACAATGGATACAACATGAAAGCGCATGGAGAAAGCGCTTTAAAGAAAACAAGGAAATATCACAAATCTCTTAACACTAAACAAAACAAAATTGGTAAAAGATCAAGCATGGATATAAACCAGTATGGAATCTGGTTTTCAAATAAAACATGATGCAATTTTATAACAGAACGAAATGCACTCCACGTCTATTGAACACTCGTTCAAATATTTACCCGGTCCGGTGTGTAAGGTACTCTACCAGATGCCGTCCCATGTTGACTTATGCTGCGTTTAAATCGTTCAAGATTAAATTAACGTTTGAACTGGTCTTAGTAATACTAATGCTTAGATTTTTAACGCAATTTATGAACTACAAGCTGTTGCCCGCGACTTCGTCCACGTGGTATTAGAAAACATACGAACTATGTAAATTACAAAAATTCCTCGGGAACCGGACATTTCTCTGGGATGAAGCTTATCTCATGTGTACTCCAGACTTTGTTTTATATCTGTGCCAAATTTCAATAAGATATGTTGAACCATTGCAGAATGATCGAATGAACTTTAAAAAACTAAATTAATGAATCCCACGGGAACCGTCACTATTCCCGGGATAAAAAGTAGCCTATGTATTCTTCCAGACTATGCTCTAAACCTGTGCCAAATTTCATGGAGATCCGTTCAGCCGTTTAGGCTACAAACGCTAACAAACATCCATCCATCCATCCATCTAAACTTTCGCATTTATAATACTACTAAGATAAGATTAACAGAAAGATAAACCAAATAACCAACAAATGATTCCTTGAGACATAGATTGACTCTTAGTTTTAATAATATAAAATTAAAAATCTTTAAAACATCTACCAAGCGAAGAGTTACGTAAGTGGAAAAAATCTAGACTTACAGACTCGATTTAATGATCTGTAATTAGCAAGAGGTTCATCTTAAACAGCGACGTTTAGCTATAATTTCAAACCTATTAGGTTTTTTATAGTCACAGAAGGCACAGACTACATGGGCAATTAACCCGATTCTAGTTATCTAGATAAATATATTCTGCGACCTTGCAAACCTGTTCTTATTTTTCTATTGACGTCGAACTGTCTACGTTGTAAAATATGCTTGTGTTATAATTCTTGTTTTTATTTGATTGGATGCTGCTGTTACATAGTTTTTAAACACGGAGAACTATTTTTATTTATTGAAAAACATAGGTAAAATAATAAAATTTTCTAGTTAACGTGTCTAACAGTAATTTTCCTGTTTCAGTCATTATAGTTCACACTTATTATTATTTCTTCGTGTGTTAAGTATAGAACTGAAAACGCCAGTCGCATGACTTATGTCGAATTGATTGAATGTTTGCACGAATTTAAAAGTTAATTTAATAAACGAGTGATTTCCTTGATTGTAAGTATGGCTTCCTTACATTGTAGATTACTATACTTCCTACTAATGTGTGTAGACGTTGTATTGACTTTAGTTTTGATTGTATTGGTAGTCTACGTGTTGTCAATCCTACGAGAAAGCGGTTGCGTAGTGCAATTGTATATGTGGTGTGAGTCAGCCGTAGTTTACACCAAAGTCCAGATATTCGTGCTTTAAATGTATACTAGGAATTGTTGGTTAAACTTTATATCTACAGTGATATTTTCATTTTATTCTGCTAGATATTTAATATAATTAGAATGAGCTTCATAGTTGCAGATATTAAAATAGCAATGTACATTGTACAATGTATGTAATTTAGTTAAAAAAGTACAAGATATTCCAATTAATATTTCTTGAGACGAATGATAATTCAATTATTCTTGACATTGGTTTCAATCTAGTATTTCTATTTTTCTAATTAAATTCGTCCTATGTACGACCGAATACCCGCCAGGTCCGACCTCGTCTGAAAGGTTCAAGTACAAACAAAATTGAACTATGTTAGCTATTGAAATATTAAGCCGCTATTCGATCTAACAAATGAAACGACACTTTTGAAATGTTTTGTTTATTATCAAAATACCTAGTCTTTTAAAAATTAAACAAAAATATAATTTGTTTGAATAACAGATAAAGAAAAGCAATATGTATAAACATAATATAGATTCACTGATTGTATATAAATTAAACTTTCTTTGTAAACTGGAAAATAATTAGTATAAAAGATATTCTCAATACTGCCACAAGCATAACCGGGGCAATTCGTTATCAAAAGTTTTTTCGGGGCATTGTGAGATATGACCTATTTTTTAGAGATTCAGCAACAAAAAGACGAAGTTTCGTTATCACGTAATAGACAGTTTTATAGCTATGGGTTTTTTATTTACCATATTATGGTCATTTTTATAACAAAACGCAGGCAAAGACAGAGACCATGGCCCCCCAATTGGCTCGTTACTATGACAACTTTCTCGCTCCTTCTACAGTCACACATAATTTTTAGTTTTAAAGATATTACTAAGTGACAGTTGAAAACAATATTAAGTTTCATTGTATTTCAAAGCATAATGTTCTAGTATTTAGCTGTCAATTGTTTTCGTTAATTTTCCAGCGCACTTTGTATTGTGTCGTTCAGCTTATCGTGTCGCTGTAAACCAGTTACAATTACCTTAGATTATGAGTGTTTTGAACTCGCGTTTAAGATAACAAAAGGTCGTTTACTTTGTATTTAGGTTAATTAATCGCTAACTAAAGGTCGTGTGCAATAACGTTAACAGAGTTTGAGATGCATCATTGAATTTGTTTTGAATTTATTCTATGTTAATGTCTACTTATAAATTATCATAGCTTTGGTTTGTTACATCCAATTGATCCAGTATAACCATAACTAATAATTTAACTGCAATAAAGCCTGTATTATAAATAAACAGTGGTACTCATCTTTCTCTAAACCTATTCAACTTCGTAAAACGTCATTGAAAACTAAAAACCTATCTCGAATCCAATTTCCTTAACGATTTACGAAATGGCTCGCCATTTGAGCCTCTTAACAAGATTGAACATAATTAAACTGTTAATTGCGTTGAAAAATAACAAAGAACCTGTTCGCAATACGATTTATTTCCATTGTTGCACGAACGAGTGTGTCTAATGGTCAGGGCGCAAGGTCCCAACCTTTCTCAGTTCTCACGTTTCTGTATCGACTATTATTTTATTCAAAACTCGTTTCTATATTATGTTAAATAATAACTTTTGTCTGAATTTGAGTTAGAAGATAAGATGTATGACAAAAAATACACAAACGAGTAATAAAAATAATTCGTGTATTACGCGAGGGTTATCTTATTTTGCCTTTTAAAAATTCAAATCCTACTTCATTATTAATTCACTTTGAGCTTATTATGAATTCCAGTATTGGTCTTTTTAAATAGCAAGAAAATTATTCATCACCAGTTTAAGAAGGAAAAGAAGATTATATATTATTTTTACGAAAGGAGTAAAAAAATAATCT